TTATTGGCACAAAGATGTTCATAGTAGTTCCTTATCAACTTAATTACTGTGAGATCCTTTACTGGTGTTCCCTTTTGGTAATCTGTGACTTCTCTCTCTTTTTTTGGTGGTCAGTCTAACTAAAGGTATATCAGTTTTGTGGTCTTTTCAAATAACCAACTTTTGCTTTCTCTGAATTTTCTGTATTTTAAAAAATATCATTGATACCTACTCTAATTTTTATTATTTCATTCCTTTGTTTTGCTTGGATTTAGTTTTCTCTTCTTTTTTTCCTTTTTAATGTGGAAGCTTAGGTTATTAATTTGAGATCTTTGTTCATTTCTAATATAGGAGCCTAAGTCTATAAATTTCCCCCTGAAGCATTGCTTAAGCTGCATCCCATATCTTTTAATGTATTTTATTTTCATTTTTATTCCATTCTATTTTTTTTTATTTCCTTGTGATTTCTTCTTTGACCAGTGGATTATTTGTTAAATTTTCAAATATTTAGGGATTTTCTCAATTTTTGTTGAATTCTAGTTTAATTCTATTGTGATTGAAGCACATCCATTGTATGATTTTAATCCTTTTAAATTTATGAGATTTGTTTTATGTCTTACAATATGGTCTGTCCTGAAGGATGTTCTCTATGTGCTAGAAAAGAATGTGTATCCTGCTGTTGTTGGGTGGAGTATTCTGTAGATGGCAATTAGGTAAAGTTAGCTGATAGTGCCAATCAAGCCTTCTATATTCTTGCTGATTTTTTTTATCCAGTCATTTTATCTATTATTAAGAATGTAGTGTTGAAGTCTCCTTCCATTATTCTTGAATTTTCTATTTCTTTCTTCAATTTTGTTTAATGTATTTTGGTGGTGTTAGGGACATATATATTTCTAATTGTTACATCTTCCTGATATTGAGACCCTTCTTCTCATTATAAAATGCCTTTTATCATTATAAAATGCCTCATATTATCTCTAGTAATGTTTTTACCTTAAAATCTATTTTTTCTGGTATTAGTATAGTTATTTCTGCTCTCTTATGGTTACTGTTTATATAGTCTACCTTTTAAAATTTATTTATTTATTTATTTTTCGAGACAGAGTCTTACCCTGTCACCCAGACTGGAGTACAGTAGCGCAATCTCAGCTCACTGCAAGTTCCGCCTCCCTGGTTCATGCCATTCTCCTGCCTCTGCCTTCCAAGTAGGTGGGACTACAGGTGCCTGCCACCACGCCTGGCTAATTTTTTGTGTTTTTAGTAGAGACGGGGTTTCACCATGTTAGCCAGGATGGTCTTGATCTCCTGACCTCGTAGTCCACCCACTTTGGCCTCCCAAAGTTCTGGGATTACAGGCATGAGCCACCATGCCGCAGCCCACAACGTCTACCTTTTAAAAAATTTTTTTCCTTCAATCTATCTGTGTTTCTGAATCTGAAATGTATCTCTTATTAGGATCTATTTTTTATTCAGTCTGATAATTTCTGCTTTTAATTGGAGTATTTAATCCATTTCCATTATTTGAGATTGTTGATATAATTGACTTTACATGTGCCATCTTGCTGTTTTCCATTTATCTCGTGGCATTTTTGTTCCTCTATCTCACTTTTCATGCCTTTTTGTGTAAAAGAAATATTGTCTAAGGTACTGTTTTCATTGTTCTTTTCTTTTCTTTTCTTTTCTTTTGTTTCACACAAGGCCTTGCTCTGTTGCCCAGGCTAGAGTGCAGTGGTACGACTACAGCCCACTGTAGCCTCAATCTCTTGGGCTCAAGCGATTCTCCCACCTCAGCCTCCTGAGTAGCTGGGACTACAGGTGCCCACCACCACACCCAACTAATTTTTTAAATTTTTTGTAGACATGGGGTTTCACTGTGTTGCCTAGGATGGTCTTGAACACCTAGGCTCAAGCAGTCCTCCCACCTCAGCCTAGCAAAGTGCTGGGATTATAGGCATGAGCCACCACATCCACCTTGTTTTGTTATTTTCTTAGTAGTTTCTTATTACAATACATCTTAACTCATCACAATCTATTTTCAAGTAATACTAACTTAATTCTAGGTTTTTTTTGCTTTTTTGTTTGTTTGTTTGTTTGAGACAGAGTCTCACTGTGTCACTCAGGCTGGAGTGTAATGGTGCGATCTTGGCTTACTGCAACCTCTACCTCCCAGGTTCAAGTGATTCTCCTGCCTCAACCTCCTGAGTAGCTGGGATTACAGGCACCCACCACCACACACGGGTACTTTTTGTATTTTTAGTAGAGACAGGGTTTCACCATGTTGGCCAGGCTGGTCTCGAATTCCTGACCTCAGGTGATCCACGTACCTTGGCCTCCCAAATTGTGAGGATTACAGCTGTGAACCACCATGCCTGGCTCTTAATTCTACTTTAATACAGAAACTTGCTTCAGTACAGTTTCATTCCCCAGTTCTTTGTGCCATTATTATTCTAAATATTATATCTTTATGTTTTATAAGCCCAACAATATGGTTGTGTATTTTTGTTTTATGCAACTGTCTTTTAAATCAGTTAAGAGAAGAAAAGAGGAATGAATATTTTTTACAGTTATTCATATAATTACCTTTATTTATGTCTTTTATTTCTTTGTGTGATTTTGAGTTACCATCTGGAATCATTTTATTCCAATCTGAATGACTTCCTTTCTTATTTCTTATAAGGCATATTTGCTCACAACAAAATCTCTTCTCTCTGTTTTTCTCAGAATGTTTAACTTTGCATGCAGTTTTCAAGGATAGTTTGCTGCATATGGAATTCTTGGTTATCAGTTTTGTTTTGTTTTCTTTCAGCAGTTTGAATATATCATCCTACCATCTTCTGGCCTCCATTTTTTTCTGATAAAAACTCAGCTGTTAATCTCATTGTGTGCTCCTGTATGAGATTAGTCATTTCAGTTCAATACTTTTCTTTGACTCTTTTTTATAATATCCTTTTCTTTATGTATATTTCTATTTGATGAATCATTAACATTATACTTTCCTTTAGCTCTTTATTATTTTTAGTTTTGTTTTTTGTTTTCTGTTTTTTTGAGATAGTGTCTCATTCTGTCACCTAGGCTGGAGTGCAATGGTGCAATCTTGGCTCACTGCAACCTCTGCCTCCCAGATTCAAGCAATTCTCCTGCCTCAGCTTCCCAAGCCAAGTAGCTGGAACTAATTTGCATATTTTTAGTAGAGATGGTGTTTCACTCTGTTGGCCAGGCTGGTCTTAAAATCCTGACCTCAAGTGATCCATCTGCCTCGGCCTCCCAAAGTGCTGGGATTTCAGGCATGAGCCACTGTGCCCAGACTCTCTTAAGTTCTTGAACATATTTATAGTAAGTCTTTGTCTGCCAAGTCTAATATTTAGGCCCCCTAAGAGGCCGTTTCTATGTTTTTTGCTGGTAGGGGCCAAACTTTTCCATTTTTTTCATGTATAATAGGTTTTTTGTTGAAAACTACACATTTTAGATAATATACTGCACCAACTCTGAATTCTGTATCTCCATACCATAGGTCCTGGGCTAACTCTATAGAGTCTGTCTCCCTTGAGTCATGTAGCTACTGATATCTCTTAAGTTGTCTTATTTCTTAATCATTTTTTAATTGTTAAGACAAGTCTCCTGGAGGTTGCACTTGAGTCAACATAGCTTAATGGTGAGCTGAGGATTGATCAGAGGTTTTGCTTAATTCCCTTGAGCCAGTAAGCCTTCCACCTTTTGCCCGTGGATCTCTGTGTTGGTTGGGAAACACATTAAAAATTTAGGCCTGTTACAAGTCTAACTGGGATTTTACTTTCAGTCGTGCCTTCTTATGTTTCCTTTATAAGTGTCCTAGGTTTCATACTTATCTGGAAATGTATGGATAGCTAGATATCCTCCTACTATCCACACTACTATCCTGTAGTCCCTCCTAAGCATGTTTAGCCTTGTAGATTACAGGGGGTATGTGTGAGATTGTCAAGGTTCACTGTGGCTGCCTTATTCCCCAAATTTTCCTATTATATTTCTTGCAAGACTACGGGTTTATTTCTTGTACCTGCCAGTATCATAGTCTCAAGGCAGCTGAGATGCTGGCCTTTCCTGGGGTATGCACACCATTCCAAATCAAATTAGCCTCCTCCAGGTGTGGAGCTGCTGGTTTTGGGGAATTTTTCTCCCCTTTTAGAGCTACCAAGGTAATGGAAGCTGGAAGAGGAGGCTTTGCTCAAAATTACTTCAATTAGCTACTTTGTTATTACTGAATATGATTTTTTTCCTGACTTTTTGGCAGTGAACATCTTTATGAAGATTTCACTTCTTACCATGTATATTAGTTTTCTAGGCTTGCCATAACAAATTATCACAAGCTTCGTAGCTTAAAACAACAAAAATTGCTTCTCTGATAGTTTAGGAGGCCAGAAGTCTGAAATCAGAGCATCAGCAGGATTGGTTTCTTGTGGGGGTTTTGAGAGAGAATCTATTCCATGCCTCTTTCCTAGCTTCTGGTGGCTGCCAGCAATGCTTAGCCTAGCAACATCTCTCCAATCTTTGTCACATGGCATTCTTCTCTCCGTGTCTGTGTATCTGAACTTCCTTCTCCTTTCTCTTATAAAGACAGAAGTCATTGGATTTAGGACCCACTGTAATCTAGTATGACCTTATCATAACTAGTTACATTTCAAACATCCTGTTTCCAAATGAGCTCACATTCTGAGATTCTGGTAGATATAAATTTTGGGGGACACTATTCAATCCAACATACCATTCATTATGAAGTAGCACCTGAAAATCTGTATGGTCTCTGGTGTTGATTAGGTTATCCTTTTGTGAAAATTAGTTTGAAAATGAACAGAACAGCAAGCTAACTTGACTTTTTTTTGTTTGGGTGGTTCTTTAAGTTAAAATAATTCACACCCACTTTTTTATTTTTTTTATTTTTATTTTTTCATACTACTAAGAAAAAGGCAGAGAGATCTGTGGACAGGAAAGTGTTGGCAGAGCCTTACCCTTCTCAATTCTGACTTGCATGTCTGCTTTTAATCTAGAGCCAAATAACTATCGGACCATGCATGGCCGGGCAGTAAATGGCAGCCAGTTGGGAAAGGATTACATCCAGCTGAAGAGCCTGTTGCAGCCCATCCGGATTTATTCCAGAGCCAGCTTATATGGCCCTAATATTGGGCGGCCGAGGAAGAATGTCATCGCCCTCCTAGATGGGTAGGTCAGATTGTTTAGCTTTTCTTATGACATTGTTCATTTAATGAATTAATGTATTTGCATTTCTCCTGATTATTTATTTATTTATTTATTTTGGTCTTAAGAAAAAAAGGAGGGACTCTTTCCATAGTGGCTTCACCCACTCTAAGTCAGAGATTCTCCATCTTTCTCATCATTCTAGACCTTCCGTAGTAAACAGGGGAACATGGGATGGGGAAGGTATATCACAATCTCTAGGATGGGTTGGAAAGGAAACATTGTTTGAAAAAACACAATTAATATGATGCATTTTATAGCATCATTTTATATTTTTTAAGACAAAAAAATTACTCTATACCAGGGTCCTCTTGTAGAAAGTGAAGCTTTACAAAATCTTGGCCAGCAAACTGGGTTAAAAAGTTGAAAAACACTACAAATACTGAGATATTAAAGCTCTTGATAGGCCTATTAGCAGATATTCTTGAGAATTGCTACCACTTTTCTTATTTAGTTTTGACTAAATCTGACAATCTTTTTTTAAATCACCTAAGGCAAGGAAAGATACTGATCAGGATTTTCTTTTATGTGTCAGAAAAAAATAGAGATTTATCTCTGTTAATGTATATGTACTAAATATACAGTGAAATATAACTAGAAACACATAAACATCCCCAGCGACTTGAACTAACAATAACAAAAATGTCAGCACTCTAAATTACCAGCTCTGTATTCCTTTCTAATCCTCCTGGTTATACAGATATAATTTTACATAGTTGTGATCATTGTATATGCATCATTTTGAGTGCTGCATTTTTTACTCATTGCTTCACATGACCCTTTCCTTGTTTCTACATAGTTCTCATATTGTCATTCTTAATAGCAATAAAATATTCCATTGCATTAATGCACCTAAGTCTGCCTAAGCATTCCATCACCGTTGGGCATTGGACTGTTTCCAAATTTTGCTTGTAATATATAGCACAGCTATAAACATTTTTATACAAATCGGTCATTTATTTCTTTTGAATTACATCCTTGGGCTAAATTCCAAAAAGTAGGGTTTCTTGGTCAAAGTATGTGATAATTCTTATGGCTTTTATATTTGTTGCCAAGTTTTTTTCAGAACAATTTCATCAGGTTGCAGGACAGCAATGTATTAGTATATCTTTTTCTCCAATATCCTATAGCAATGAATGTTGTCAGTTTTATTATTTTACTCTATTTTAATTAATGCAGGATCATGTTGCATGGTTGTTTAAACTTGAATTCTGTTAATTATGAAAAGAACTCAGAATTTTCAAATCCTTATATTGTCTTGTTTCCTCTTATCCCAAATTTGATTAGTAACCATTGTAGTAACCATTAGTAACTTAACCAAATTTGACAATAACCATTTTGTCTGAGACCCAGACATGGAAGCCGTTTTAGATCAGTTTTCTCCTTCGTTCACACATTCAGTTAGTTATTAAGTACTGTAATTTTCTTAGTATCCTTCATATCCCATTTTCTTTTCATTTTTATTTTAAACCTTATTGTTTTTAATCCTAAATGATTTATTGGTATCTAGCTAGCCTCAAACTCTAATAATTTTTCCATATAGATTCCTGAGTAGTTTGTTGTTGTTGTTGTTGTTGTTGTTGTTGTTGCTTTTTAAACACAGAGTCTCGCTCTGTCAGCCAGGCTGGAGTGGAGTGGCGTGATCTCAGCTCACTGCAACCTCCGTCTCCTGGGCTAAAGCAATTCTCCTGCCTCAGCCTCCCGAGTAGCTGGTATTACAAGCATGTGCCACCACGCCCAGATAATTTTTGTATTTTTAGTAGAGATAGGGTTTCACCATGTTGGTCAGGCTGGTGTTGAACTCCTGACCTCAGATAATCCACCCATCTCGGCCTCCCAAAGTGCTGGGATTACAGAGTATTTTTTTTTTTAATGTAACATCTGGTCAAGTCACTTTTGCTTGAAATCCAAACCCTTTCAGATGCACTCGTGGCCTTTAGTATCTGCGCCTGCCTAAATTTGCAGCTAATAAGCAGTGATGCCCCCTTGCCCTCTAATTACATCTAACTACATCAAAGTACAGAAAATTTTTAATGTAAATTCTGGAAGATGCTATACTCTTTTATACCTCTACATCTTTTTATTTTGTGTCATTTTGTTAAGAATACCAGCCTCTCCTCTTGTTTTTCTCCTTTCTCTAGATCTTCTCTGACATGTTCAGGCAGAATTTCTTAGGGCCTCCTCTGTCCTTGCATGGCACTGTATTTTTCTGCTATCGCACTTATCAAATTGATGATAACATTTGTTTATATATCTGCCAGCCATGATAAACCACAGAGTAGGATCAGGAACCCATTTGTTTTATTCATATCCTCAAAATATTCCTAGGTTCTGTATCCTCAGAATCTAGGAATATAGTAAGTGCCTTATAAATGCTTGTTGAATGAGTAGTATCTGTCTTATTCAACAACTGATTTTAAGGTCATCCAAAAAAAAAAAAAAACAGTATGCATAATTGTAATTATGAAGCATTGAAAAGCATAATATAAATAATCATTTAAATGGATTATGTTGATTTTATAAATCATGATAACTTCAGTTTTTTGAAACTATACCAATGTCTTAAGTTTTTAAAAAATTTTATTGATACATACAAATCGTACATATTTGTTGTACATATTTACGACAATTTTTAAATTATTTCTTTATGTTGGGAACATTCCAAATCTCTTCTAGCTACTTGGAATATACAATAAGCTACTGTTAACTATTGCCACACTACTGTGCTATTGAACACTAGAGCTTATTCCTTCTAACTGTGTTTTTGTACCCATTAACCAACCTCTCTTCATCCTCCCTCTCTCCTTCCCTTCCTAGCCTGTGGTTACCACCAATTCTCTACCTCCATGAGGTCCACTTTTTCATTTGCTCCTACATGTGTGTGAGCACATACAATACTTGTCTTTTTGTTTCTGGCTTATTTCACTTAATGTAATGTCTTCCAGTTCCATCCATGTTGCTGAAAATGACAGAATTTCACTCTTTTTATGGTTGAATAGTATTCCATGTGTATATATACTACATTTTCTTTATCCATTCATCCCTTGATGAATACAGGTTGATTCCATATCTTGATTATTGTGAATATTGCTGCAATAAACATTGAAGTGTGCATAATCTTTTTGATATACTGACTTCCTTTATTTTGGTTATATACCCATAGGTGGGATTGCTGGGTAAGCTTTTTTACTGAGGTAGTTGCAGAACTAAAAAGGACTGTCTTTCCAGTTAGGATATGAACTCTATGAAGACAGAGATAGAATCTTCATGTTCATATTTAATATTTTCAGGGATTAGCCTGTGGTCTGGAAAATGGGAATTACTTAACAAAATGCTTATTTTATTGTTTTCATTTCCTCATTTGGGAAATGGCTATTCTTAATCATCAGTTTTTATCTAAAGACATGAGAATTACTATTTAGAGTTATATCAGTTTCTGGTTTTTCTTTTGTAAACTTTTATGCATCATCTATGTAATGACAATTTTATCTTAATCTAGTGTTTTTTGTGTGTGCGTCCTAAAAGATATTTTTATTGTTTTAGAAGTTTCTTTTCATTATCATTTTTCTTGTCTCATATTGTTCAACAAGCTCTACCTACAAAATAGAAATCCTACTCAAAAGGAGATTTATCTAAAAAAAATTATATACCCAATAACAGAGAAAAACCTATACCTCTACCTTGACAAATCTACTTAGTCCCTAATTTTTAAAAGTGAATACAGGCAAATCTCATATTTATTGTGCTTCACATATGTTGGATTTTTTATAAATTGAAGGTTCATGGTACCTCACTTCATGTCTCTGTGTCACATTTTGGTAATTCTTGGAACATTTCAAGCTTTTTCATTATTATTATATCTATTATGGTGATCTGTAATCAGTGATCTTTGATGCTGCTATTGTAATTATTTTGGGGCACCATGAACTATAAGATGGCAAAATTAATCAATAAATGTGTGTTCTGTCTGTTCCACCCACCAGCCATTCTCCCATCTCTCTCCCTGTTCTCAGGCTTTTCTATTCCCTGAGACGCAACAATATTAAAATTACACCAATAAATAACACTACAATGGTCTCTGAGTGCTCAAGTGAAAGACTTGCATGTCTCTTACTTTAAGGCAGAAGCTCAACATGATTAAGCTTAATGAGGAAGGCATGTTGAAAGCCATGATAGGCTGAATGCTAGGCTTCTTGTCCCAAACAGTTAGCCAACTTGTGAATGTAAAGGGAAAGTTGTTGAAGGAAATTAAAAGTGCTACTTTGGTGAACACAAGAATGATAAGAAAGTGAAACAGCCTTATTGCTGCTATGGAGAAGGTTGTAGCAATCTAGATAGAAGATCAAACCAGCCACATTTCCCTAAGTGAAAGCCTAATCCAGGACAAGACCCTAACTCTCTTCAATTCTATAAAGGCTGAGAGAGGTGAGGAAGCTGCAGAAGGAAAGTTGGAAGCTAGCAGAGGTTGGTTTAAGGAAATAAACTATCTCCATAACATGAAAAATGCAAGGGGAAGCAGCTCTCCAGAAGATACAACTAAGATAATTAATGAAAGTGACTACACTAAACAACAGATTTTCAGTATAGATGAGACATCCTTCTCTTGGAAATCTGAAACTCTGAAAATCTTAGGGTCCCTCTGAATTAAGTTAAATCTACTCCACCTGTGCTGTATAAATGGAACAATACAACCTGGGTGACAGCATATCTGTTCATAGCATGGTTTACTAAATAGTTTACACCCACTACTGAGACCTACTGCTCAGGAAAAAAAAACTGCTTTCAAAATATTACTGCTCATTGCCAATATGCCTGCTCACCCAAGAGCTCTGATGGAAATATACAGATAAATTAATTTTTTAAGCCTGCTAACTCACCCTCCATTCTGCAGCCTAGAGATCAAGAGAACTGTTGACTTTCAAGTCTTATTATTTAAGAAATACATTATTTGAGAAGTACATTTT